ATCTATGAAGCGATCGACTGTTTGTGGACAGCGAACGGAAAGTTTGTGTGGATTTCTCGCCGACAGATATACTGCTCTCATCTCATAAACGATAGCGATTTACAAGAATCTCAATCTCTTGTGAATAAACTCCAGACTAAAGCCGAACCTCTGGAAGAATGTAAAAAGAAAGTTGATTTGGAGTCAAAGCGGCTTTCATTGGATGCATTGAGGCTCCGGATTGACCACGTTTTGGATTCAGTAAAACAATTGCAATCTCTTTTAAACACATTAATTGAAAAAATAACAGCAATTATTGGTAAAAACAAGACCTAAATATTTTTCAACAAATAGGATATTTATAAATATTTGAGTCAAAATCTATATATTTATTAATAAATGTTACTTTTTTTGCTATAATTCTTGCGTAATATTTATTTATTTATAGTTTACTATATTTTGTTTAATTTAATTCTTCTTTACAACGAATATTAATAGCGAACCAAATATTTAGTGTTATATTATGGGAGTTATTGAAAGGCAATGGAAGGCATAGTTTTGGTTAATAGAGTGCAACTGATTGTTATTCTTGTGATATATGTCTGATCTTCAAATGACTACAAAACTGAACATAAATTGTATTAATAAAGTATTAGATTAATAATTAAAAAACGCCACAAAACTCGTCAGTATCTATGGTTACTATAGTTATATATATAAGTATTTGATGCACACTTTTCACTGCGACGACTGAACGTTAGCATCAATGCCACGACTTTCGCAGAATATTCCTCATAAAAGCAATAAATTGTGTTAAATCTTACAACAAATATTGTTATGTGTTTATGATGTTTAGAAATCATTTATTTGCTTAAAAGTTTAGACACTTTTCTGTTGTTTTAATTAAAACTTTTATATTCTTTAAAGAATATAAGAAATGCCGGTTTCTAATCATGAGATATGTATTTGTCAAATATGTATTTGTGGGTAAGAATTGCTTTCTTTTATCATATCTATTCTTATTATGTTTTAAATATTTCTACAATTTGATGATATATTTGCTTTTGATTATATTTTTGTCAAAAAATGTTTTGTTTGTGAATATTTTGTAGTTTGAAAACGAGAGTAAATTGATCAAGTTAAATTGCTCTTAAAAATTTTATTTGAACAAGTTATTAAATTTGAAACTTTATTAAACTTTTATACATGGTAAATCTTATTGAACTTATTAATTTGTATAAATGATTTACCATAATAGACTGTAATTTTAACAAATTACTTATATTTCTAAAGAATATAATTAAGCAAAAATGATGAAAATATGTAATCTATAGTTCAATAAGTATGTTATAAAAGAAAATTAATAACAATTAAATGTTTAACGAATAGAGATAATAATCACGTAAAATACATCAAAGTTTCATTTCCTCGAATGTTTTTAATAAATATTATATTTTAGTAAAACTTAAAAAATATGTTCATTAGTTTGAATAGGAATTAAGGGTAAGTGGAGACCAGAGTAAAGAAAATATTGCAATAATGATAGTGAAAAAAAGAGTTAATCTAAACAAAAGTGAATTGCATTTGAATGAAATGTAGAGCAGATCTAAATTTATATTAATATTGATATTAAAGTTTGTCCTTATGTTAGGCAGCGATGCATAGAATGTGAGGCAATGAAATAATTATCAATATTTATGACCAAAACCACGGACCAAACATACGGTGGGGTAACCATAATCACCACACATTCAGTCACTGCACAGTTATTTATGCCCTAAAATCGTCGCAATCATCGATTCCTATGAGAGAAGCATCGCTTCCGCAATATAGGCGTCACTCGAGACAAGGATTAATCGGTTATTGCAATTACCATATTGTATATTACTATGTATTTGCGCACCAATTACTACATTAGTATACATTACGAGACAATCAAAAAAGTTTTTTTGTGAAACAAATGTTATTTTTTTGTCTCCAAAATATGATAGCTTAGCAACATTTAAGGCACGACTGGTTTTTATATACAGTTTACGGATAAGACCCCAGAATTGTTTGGTTTAGACCATCAATTTGTCCACAAAATATATAAATTTGCAAAACAATTGTTTAATTAAACAAAGATATGAGAAATATTGAGTTCATTAGAATAGCTTTAATAATAATAATATCGATATTTGAATCAATATCTCAAAAAGAGTATGAATTTATAGCAAATCATGAATTGATTCTTGTGTTGGAAGCAATTGTATGATGAGATGTCGCAAATCTAATTCTTCGTGGCATCTCTTCCTCTTACTTCACGCCCCAAAACAATTCCATCGTTTGAATGCTTTGGAAACAATTATTGAAGAGCCGAATGAGGTTAGCAGTGGATGTGCTGTTACCACACAAAGGTATTATTCATTATAGAATTTGAATCGTTTCCTATGTTAATGGGTTGAAGGGGTGACAGAAAGAGAGGGGACACGTCCTCTGGGATCAGATCATACATTACAGCGATTGTCACTACAAAAACCACTCCGACTCACGAATCGTTGCACTTTTGTAACTCTGGTTACGAAAACTTTCGTTCAAAAAACTAATAACTTTTGTTTTATATATTAATCATGAGTTTCTGTATCTTTGAATCATTTTTATAAATATATCCTAAAGTGTAATAATACTAATACTACAAAGCATTTATATACTGCACTGTTTATAGTGTATTAATATTTAAACACTAAAACACAGAAAATTATTGTTATATAAGTTGTTATATAAGTCTATAATTATAGGAATATTCTGTTATTGTAAATATTGTTTCAAATTGTGTGTAAAATAGTGTAATATTACGATATATTTATCCACACTATAGGGAACATCGGTGCGAGACTTCTGTGAGAAATCATTTGAGACGGAAATCACAAGAGAAAGGCTTAACGAAAAGCAAAAGTGAAGCCAAATTGGAGTTCGAGAAGAGAGGCGCCGACACAGACTCGGCGGACCATAAGTGCAGAAAACAATGGGAGACATCACCGGATCAGATGAAAGAGATTTCTCGCTCTTTGTCCCAAATAAATGGCACGAATTTAGACAAAAGAGACACAGAATTAGTTCGAAGTAAACGCTCGACAAAACCTTTAAAAGAAAAGTCAACCGAAAGACAGACCGTTCGTACAACACTTCCGCCGATAAACATCTTTAGTGACAGCGATTCCGGTAAAGAATTCAAAGAATTATCGTATTCTTGTATTTGTGAGGAAATGTATAAATCAAAGAGTGGTCCGCAAGAGTTGGACGACTTGACTGATTCCAACCAATGGGTAGTGTCTCGACCCACACGTAATAAGCCGTCGGACAATCTGCGTCTGGAGGGACCGATGGAAATGGAGACCACGTCTAAGACTACATACGACACGACTGCCAAACAGATAGCGGCAACCGATGGCCAACAGCGAAGCGTCGCTATAGTTATGCCATCCGCTAAACCGACTGCCGATGAAAGCAATTTTGAGCGCTTAAAGCAAACGAAAGCCAATGAATTGAGTGCCGTTAAGTCGAGCAAAAAGAAGTGCAAACACAGGCCGAGCACAAGCCTGAAGCCGGGCGGAGACGGATATTTCAATACATTAAATCAGGAAAGCTATAAAAACTTTGTCATAATTGACGACAAGAGCGCGAAAGCAGCAAAAGGGCCGAAGAGTGGCGGCGATGGGAAGACGGAGGGGAAGAGTGTTTGCTGTGCGACAGTCGCTAACATTAAACTCCCAAAAGTGGACGAAAAGTCACTGAAGACCAGACGAGTGACGAGAGAGGAAAAGTCCACACAAATGGAACAAATCGATAAATCTCTTCAAAGTCTAACCACTGAAGAATATTACGAGTCTAAGACTACTACACAAACACCTCATAGCAATGGCATTAAAGTCGCTGACAGTTCTGTTCAGACAAATGGTAAAAGCGTTCATAAAAATGGAGTTAAAGACAAGGAATCAATGGATAATCGCCGAAGAAATGGAGAAATAGAGCAAAAAACTAGAATTGAATCTCAAGAAGCGATCAGCAGTTGGACTATTAACAAAAATGAAGAGCCAAAACAATTGATGACCAGAGATGTCGACAATATTAAGAATTTAGGCATTTTAGATGAACCCAAAGAACAGATGGTTCACATAATACCGGTGAAGACATCCGAAGATATTCAAAGACATTCGGGGGGTAAACAAGTATTTGCAAAAGAGTCTCAACTGGATTTAGAGAACAGAGAGGAATCGACTCGAGTTAGGAATGAAAGCAAACATTACGTTCAAACACAGAGAAGACACACTAAGAATAAGAATGAGAGCTCAATGCGATTCTTTGACGGAGATATGGACTTCACGACTACCAGCAAAACCTCGTACGCCGATAGATCTCCCGTCAGAGCAGAGGGACAACCGGTTGTTAATCAGAGGGAGAGAACGGCCGGAAAGAGGAGTCGAAAAAGTGGTCGCAAAGGCAATCTGTTTCGGGAATCAACTGAAGCCGAATTCTATCAGCCGTACGGAGAGATGAGTTCCGACACCACATATCACAACCAATTTGGAGACCGACTCTACTGTCCGGCTATCGATTTAGGCTCTAATAAATCTGATTTCACATTTAGAGGCGAATCGAGTGGCCATAAGTTCTTCTTGCCTGCCGTTAAGTATTGATTATAGTTTAAAATATCAATTATTTTAATTGATTATTTAATTTTAAAAAATTCATTACAAAATATTAAATCATTTTAAACTTGAATTTTCTTATAATTAAAATGTTTTTAGTAACTAATGATATTTACAATCAAACAATGGTTTATAAAACAATGAAATACACATTTTATTATATAATTTAAATATTTGTTAAAAAATCTCTCTCTAATCGCTATCAGAACCGATTTGTTTCCGTTTTTTGCGAGAATTTGCTGTTTTTTGTTGTTTAACTAAAGGAATCTCATCCTAAAAGTGTAATTAAATCATTTGTTAATAAAAACTCTATTAAAATTCAATGGTTTTAGACTTACTTCCGATGAATCGCTTTCTGTATTCGAGTCGTTGTTAGCGTTGGAAACATTAGAAAATTTCGACTTTGCTTTCGTATTCTTTGCGCCCCGTTTTGGTGTCGGTTTCGGATCCAACTCTTCGGCCAATGCCAGCAAATCACTGTATCTATGGGTCACACAAATGCATATTTTGGTTATCATATAATTAAAAATCTATATTAAATCAATAAATACTTTGTCTTTTGAGTATCGGATGCAATGGACTGTAATTGAACTAAAGTTGTTTGCATTGTTTCGCTATTAAAGACTAAAATACATAACAAATAATTAATAACAATTTAGTGTACAATCAAAGAAGAATATAACAAAATGGCTTACAATTCAGATTTTTATTTCGTTGTCTCAATAGATCCATGTGTGCGAGAATTAACTCCACATTAGAGCTAATCTGAACTTTATTGTTAGCATTCCTATCAATAAAATAAATTCATTGTAAATCCAATACATAATAGAAAATAATACAAATGGATGCAAATATACCTTTTGGTTCTCTTTGCGGGTGAACTAACTTTTGATGTCAAATAAGAAGAGATTAATTCAGACAATTTGTCCGAAAAATTCTGCGACCAATAGTTTAAAACTTTGCTTTCGTATTCTTTGCGCCCCGTTTTGGTGTCGGTTTTGGATCCAACTCTTCGGCCAATGCCAGCAAATCACTGTATCTATGGGTCACACAAATGCATATTTTGGTTATCATATAATTAAAACTTTATATTAAATCAATAAATACTTTGTCTTTTGAGTATCGGATGCAATGGACTGTAATTGAACTAAAGTTGTTTGCATTGTTTCGCTGTTAAAGACTAAAATACATAACAAATAATTGATAACAATTTAGTATACAATTAAATAATAATATAACAAAATGGCTTACAATTCAGATTTTTATTTCGTTGTCGCAATAGATCCATATGTGCGAGAATTAACTCCACATTAGAGCTAATCTGAACTTTATTGTTAGCATTCCTATCAGTAAAATAAATTCATTGTAAATCCAATACAGAATAAAAATAATACAAATGGATGCAAATATACCTTTTGGTTCTCTTTGCGGGTGAACTAACTTTTGATGTCAAATAAGAAGAGATTAATTCAGACAATTTGTCCGAAAAATTCTGCGACCAATAGTTTAAAACGGAAACAACAAAAAAGTCATTGCCTTTCGATTCTCGACTTAATATGTGTTTAATTAAGTTAGAAGTCGGAGATTCTCGTTGTAAATACAGCATTATATTGGTTAAGGCTTCGGCATGATCTGCAAACACACAATACGGGTCTTAATTACATTTAATCATTAAATTGCTTTCAATATAACTTACAATTATATTCTAATTTTGGCAAAATTGGTATAATTTGCTCAATGGGTATGTTGTGTGCGGTCAACAGTTGCCATAAGTAATACTGTTCTATAGTCTCCCACTCAAGACTTGCGTCTGTAATCAAAATTCAATATTAATTAAAAGGATTTGTAAGGAAAGAGTAATGAATAAAAATGAATACTCACTTAATATTGAGAGAAGTGAGTCTTTTCTGAACATTTTAAGCGTTCCGTTCATGACATGACTGACTAAGTCTTGCAATTGTAAGGAATCAATACAAGAGACGATTAGATTCAAAAGATCTGAATTCCCAATCGCTATATTAGAGAATTGTGTGTAAATATCAGGGATGAGGTAACAGAACATATTCACGTCATCGCTTTGGCACGACTTGAGATCACTTAACAGACAACCCGTCAGGTCTTTGCCTAAAGCTCTCACATATTCGCGATAAGAGGACATACGGTTGTCCACCGATTTGCTGGCCTTCAAATAGTATATCATTGAATAACCGATGCGTGAATTGTTTGCTCCCATTTCTGCTAAGAGATTCAACAAAGGGATCCGATTTGGATCTTCTTCTGCCGTTTGACACAAATTCCTAAACATTACAAACAGAGGAGTGCCGATCGAGTCCTCCAATTCCTCCTCATCCACACAATAACTAGTACTCGGAAACACTTTCTTCGAGAGATCATCTTCTAAAATGCATAACAGTATTATAGTTAAGTTCGAGGCCATGTCCTG